TACCTCAATCAGAGCTACTTGATGACAGACACTGAAAGCGTATTGGCGATGGCGGATACCACGACGAGCCCCATTGAAAACGAGTCTGAATCTTCCGCTAAAAACATGACTAGATGCATTTCTACCACACAGCTTTTCTTCCTCACACCACCCATACTCCTCATAGTAGCTAGGCTCCTTCTTTACCATCGAATCCGACCCCGCCACCTAACTCGCAGTATCGAAAAACCTTAATACCCCTCCTTCGCCTTCACGATTTCGTCACGAATCGAGCCTGCAATCGCTCGTCTTCTTTCTACCATAGCTCCTCCCGCCACCTCTTCATGCAGCCCTTTCTCTTTCTAACACTAATTCTATTCAACTAACCCCAAAACTAATATTACCATCAAACTCGCCCTGTTCAGAAACCCCCACTTTGCCTCCTCCTTCGGCCGTTTTCACTAAGAAATGGGCGGGATCAGTATCTCTCAGCTCTCTTCTCCTTCACCTCCCGCAATCTCCGCGCATGCCTTTTTCTACCAACTTCCTAAGCACTAACTCCCTCCCAAAACTAACATCACCATCGGGGTCGCCCTATCCAAAAACCCCGAAATCATGTCTCCCCACGCTCGCTTTCGCCATGAAGCGAGTGTTTTATACAAATCTCCTTCTCGTTCCACCATAGCCCCGCGCGGTGCTTTTCTTACTAACTTCCTATCCTACTAACCCTCGTGCTCGTCTAACATTCCTAATGGATTCGCCACGTTCAAAAACTCCTACTTACTGTCTTTCCTCGCTCATTTTCGTCAAGAGATGAGCGAGGTAAGCACTTTCAATCTTGCCATAGCCATCTCCTTTTTTCTCGAATGTACCCGGCCCCATTTGGCGGCCGAATCCATTCACCTACACCCTCACTCTACACTCCACCGTTCGCCGTTTCACCTTCACCACCTCATTCGCCCTGTCCAAAAACCACGGACTTCCACCTTTCCTCGCCCGATTCTATCAAGAATCGAGTGGGGTAGCACTCCCTTCCTTCCCGTTCCTTTTCACTTCCGCCATAGTTTTCTCGCACCTCTGCGCACTAACTTCTTCACCTAACTCTAATTCTACTAACTCTCCTCCAAATCTGACCGTACCATTCGTTTTGCCCGGGGTCTGAACCTCCGGATTGGTCCCTCCCTTGCTCGATTCCACTAAGGATCGAGCGAGCTCGACATCTTCCACCACGTTCTGCCCCGGCTCCTCACCATCTCCCGTCTTGAATACACCTGGCGCAGGATGCCGTCCAGGCTCACTCCCCACTTTCCCTTTGTGCTATCACTTCGTCCCTACCACTCAGCGCTACCCGGTGCGCTACCTACCTGCCCTCTCCACTCTTCGTCGCTCGCTTGCGGCGCCCTTACTCGCTGCTGCCCTGCTTCGCTACCTACTCGTCACCCCCCTGCTTTGCGTCTTCCCTGCAGCTCGTCTGGGTTCATCCTGCAACTGTGTTACCGTGCTAGCACTCGCCGCGGCTCTCCTACACACTCGCCCGGTCCGACAGACAACCGGCCCGAGGGAAACTCCGGAGGGAACCAGCTACTAGACGGTTCGTTTAGTCCTTCGCCCCTATACCCAAGTCCAACGAACGATTTGCACGTCAGTATCGTTGCGAGCCTCCACCAGAGTTTCTTCTGGCCTCGTTCCACGGCCCCAGCGCGCACCTCTTACTCCACCTCGCTGCTATACAGCTCCGCCCGGTACTGCCCTTACCGTCGCTCCGCTGTGCTCGTGCTCTGGCCGCTACTGCGCGGCACCACTTGCTCAACCCCCGCGGCCAGCCCACTTCTACCCGCTGCGCTTTACTTCGACGGGCATCCGACCCCCTCCCCTCTCTCTTCCAAGCTGGGCCGGCCACCCTTTCGGCCCTGCAACAGGTAAGTCCCACTCAGGGCTCTCATAACAGTCGCGGAGCAGGGGTGCGGGTATTCTGTGTGTCAAGGCGCGGCCCCTAGGTGAATCGGCTCTGGTGCAGACCTAGGTGGTAGTAACAATCATCCAAATGAAAACTTTGAAAACCGAGGCGGAGGGAGGCCCTACTGCAACCAGCCTACCGCCTTGGCCCCGGAGCCGCCCCGCACCTCACAACTCCCATTGGCATGCCTACACTCAAACCTCTCACAACGGATCGTGGACGGCGGGCGGCGCACCCGCAAAAAACAAAAAGGGGGGGGGGGGGGGGGCACTCCACCCCGATCGCCTCGTGGGCTAATTATCTACCGGCTCGTATGCACATCGGACTCCTCGGTCCGCGCTACAAGTCGGGCGGGACGAAGAAAAGGATCCCGCCGGCATCCCGAACTCGCTGATCCGTCAAACGAGGTGTGTTCTCAAGGTCCTCGACTACCGCGGCGACCACTAAAAATCTGGCTTCGTGTCTAAGTCAAAAAAATGCCGACGCGTAAAAAAATAATAACGGCAAAAATAATAAATAACCCCTTTTCAACGTTGCCGCCTGCAAAACTAAAGGGGGGATAGCCCCACCGGGCCCTCAACCCCACTGCCCCTTCGCACTACTCTAATATCCCCGTGTCGTCGCCGCCCAATCTTGATCCCTGAATCTCTTTGATGAAAGTCCGATGACGTAACTAATGGCGCTAGGCCCAAGTCTGGGTGTAGCTCTGTCGGACGCCTAAATAAACGAACGCAGCACGATGCGCCRGCCTACTGAAAACACTTCAAGGCCTCCTTGYCGTCGATGTCGTTTCCCCACAYATGCATARGCCACAGACAAATATGCCAACCGGCGAGACATTTAATCCCAACTGAATCAGAAAATAATTAAACATAATCCGGTCGGCGATCACGCCGACTCTTCAGTCATCAACAATTAAAAAGATCACGCGTGCCTCAAACCTGCGCGCTCACACACTCTTTATCCTAGTCAAATATCCAGTCGCATACACAACGAAGACTGCCGCGATTCGCGCGGTATACTTAAAAATTCTTAATCATATTTATTTTCTGTCACCTGCAAAAACCAGGGCGGATACCCTTGTAAGGGTATTCGCGCCGACAACGCTGGACCCGATTTCCAGCAGGTGATGCTCCCCACCAATAGACGGAGCCTTCACAACTGGGGCCTGTTTAAGGAGGATGCTCTTATCACCTCGTTAAGCAGGTCTCCAGGCCGTGAAGTTCAAAAAAAAAAAAAAAAAAAAGGTTCTCGTGGCGTTCAACCAAAATTATGCTGCTCAAGCTATTCATTCCGTGTGTAAAAAATAGGAAAACAAAAGGGGAAAAAAAAAAAGAAAAGAAAAAAAAAATCCGTGTGTTGGACACATGTTATCTTCCTTGTGCAAATAAATGCTGTAGTCACGAGCGAGCAAGAAAGACAGAGAGAGAGAGAGAGAGAGAGAGAGAGAGAGAGAGAGAGAGAGAGAGAGAGAGAGAGAGAGAGAGAGAGAGAGAGGCCTGCACGGCCCTGCAGCCGCAATGGCAGTCCATTTATTACTAGAGGCGAAAAGGAATAATTCGTGGGTGCAGAGGGCATGCACTCTGCCACTTGAAAGCTGCCACCTGTCATTTTTTTTACGGCCTTCTGATCCCAACTTGCGTTGGTCAACAAAGCATTGGACTGGAAAAACAGCTATAATTTATTTATTTTTCTCCCTTAAAAAAAAGCTGCCTTCTCCTCATCGGGGGACAGCCATATATTTTGCTCTCACCTCACATATCTTTTAACTGGCGTTCTGCCATGTCATCATGGAACATATTTCTCTTATCTTTCACTACCTACCTACCACTACTCCTAAGGCTATACAGGGGACCCCTGCGAGCATAGCTTTCTACCTCTCTTCGGTGAAGGGAGGTTGCCTCTCTCAGTGGAGAGAGGTAATGGCATGTTTGCCCCCCTTTGCCCTAGCGCCCTAGCGTTTTAGGGTGCAGGGTTGGGCCCGCCGGTGCGGGCCCAGCTAACACAAGGACCGAGCATTTGCCAGTAAAAGTAGCTGCACCTCCCTTTTCATCTTCCCCCACCCCCACAGAGTAACACCAGTGTCTAAAAGGCCAACACTCTCTCTCCCACAAACCACATGCAACCCACTCACACTCACTTGCGCACTCGCGCCCGTGTTGGCTGGCTGAAGACCTGTACTGATACGGGCTGGGGGAGGATCCAGCTGACTATCTCAGTTGGTGGCACCAAGAGTGCCCCAGGCATCCCTGGTGATTGAACCCACGACCTCCTGAATCCCACTTGCGTGCCTAACCAATTGAGCTAGGCCGCTGGATTGCGGGCCTAGCTCAGTTGGAAAGGCACAGAAGTTGCATTCAGAAGGTCGTGGGTTCAAACTTCAAATTGAATCCCCATTGGCCTCACGTATGTGCATGGGCAAGCTTGGTGTTCTACCAGCTAGAGATGTTGACCTGTTGGGCCCCAAGCCAGCATTGGCAGGACCTTGGTTGATGTTGTTGGTTGCTATCCAGGCTACAATATTGGCCATTAGACACGGCCATGTGGGGTTTGGGGGGGGGGGCGGAAGGGGGAGGTGCAGTGACTGGCCATTGCTCGGCGCTAGCACCGCCGATTTCCCCCATCGGCAATGTCTGCCCACCCCTCGTCACCGTGATGAGGGACTGGTGCAGCCTTGCTCTCGCACCACTGCTGTGGTGCCAACCTTCCCCGTGGGCTGGAGAGAGATCCGGGTTGGTTGGTGTTCCCCGTACTACACATACACTAGTGAGAGGATGAGATAGATGGGTACTAGCAAGAAAAATGAGATAGATGAGAGAAGAATATAGCTTTCTTAAAAAATAATAATAATAATAATAAAAAAAAATAAAAATAAAAAAACAGCCATTTTCCGTACCCACCGGCTGGAATGACACCATTACCTACCGCATTTTTCGTACCCCCCCCGCTCGAATGAACATGGACCCGACGTGCAGACGGATTCGGCTACCGCGTCAACGGCCACGACAACTGGTAGGTACTGGTAGCTTTCTTTTTTCCTCCCCAATTCTTAGGGCCAGATCCCACTAGCCGCTATTGTTCATTTCTGACCGTTGATCTTCGTTATCCAGGGTGAAAAATGAATAAATAATCCAGGGTAGTGGGATCTGACCCTTAGTATAGATAGCCCACATGACGCTACCAATACCCTATTCTGGCCGGCCCACGCTGTCGTGGTGGTCCCGTATGGACGAGGATTGCAAGGCTTTCTTAGTTAGGTAGTAATACGTACGGTACGGTAAATAGCCCACAATGACGCTCCCGCAGCCTATTTAGACCGGCCCACTTTGTGGTGGTGGTGATCCCGTACGGACGAGGATTGCAAGCCTTTTGAGCTGTAGTACAGATGCGTCGTCACTTTCGAGAACTCTGCAAAAGTCATCCCTTCTTTCCATCTCTCGGTCAAAGGAGGAATGGTCAACTTCGTCCGTATTATTTCCTCCATGCTCTCCTCGAGTCCCCCGCCCCCTCCTCCTTCCCCTTCCCCTCCTCCCTCCTCCCCTTCTCTTCCTCCTCCTCCTCCTCCCCCCCCCTCGCCTGCTGGTCCTCGAAGCCTTTCCAGCCCACTGATCTTCCAATCAGCAGCAACAGCAGCAGCAGGAGGAGGAGGAGGAGAAGGATGAGGAGGGGGACAAGGGGGAGGAGGAGGAGGAGGAGAAGGATGAGGAGGGGGACAAGGGGGAGGAGGAGGAGGAGGAGGAGGAGAATCTTGTTGAGAAACATGCGGCAACGTGATTAGCGTTTTCTGGATCGATGGCCCACGCTTATACTCACTGCTGCTTCTCTCCATTATGCCACCAGATGGCCCTTCTACCTTCTCTCTCTTGGGATCCTCTCCCTCAGACGGGACGCGTGACGTCAACGTGTCATCATCAGCGCGATGAGCGGCGATGCTCCAGCACCTGTCAACCTCCCTCTTCCGCTCCCTCCTCCTCCTCCTCCATGGGCATAACACGTCCTCCCTGGTCCTATCGCCCGGCGGTCTAAGGGGCATTTGCCATGCAGGCTGGAGGAAAACGACAAACATCTCCCGACTCACTGCATCACTTGAAACGGACCCGCTCCCGTGTCCCGATCCCGATCCCGATCCCATCCGGCGTCTTCCTGCACTCCATTCCGATCCCGACCTCGACCCTGAGCTCGACATCGAAGCCAGCTCCGATCCCAACCCAGCTACAACCGCTGCTCTAGGATGACAAATTTGCTGACGTGTCACAGCATCCGCCACCTCAGCCGATATCACTTGCCCCCGCACATTCTCCTCCTCCTCCTCCTCCTCCTCCTTCTCCACCGTCTTGCTCTCATTTTCCTCCCCCCTGTTTGCGCTTCCCGAGACAAAGGTACGTCCGACGTGGCCGGGTCGGGATGGCAGTCCGACGTGGCATGGCGGGCACGTCGTCAGGAATTGATGACCCGGTCCCGACCCATCAGCGGCAGCAACAACTGCCGCGCTCGCAGCAGCAGGAGGAGGAGCAGAAGGAGCAGAAGGAGAAGCAATGTGCGACAGACACGTGTCACTAGAGCCAGAAGTATTATCATTAGTCCCTCGGACTCCTGTTCCTTGTCCTCGGGGGAGCAAACCAGCAACAGCAGCAGAAGGGGAAGGCCTGAGTGACGGACACGTGTCACCTCTGATTGGCCTGCGAACGCAGTGGGCCACCGCTCGCAGCCGGCCGCCAGAGAGAATCTGTGCGGCCTCGCCAACCTGGAAAGCCACACAGTCTGTCGGGATCTGCACAGTCATCACTTGTCCACTGTTGGGGTCCCACACCTGCAGGCCGGTATGCTCATCCGGCGCTAATACCTCCTCCTCCTCCCCCCCCTCCTCCTCCTCCTTGGGAGAGAAATCAAGGCTCGCACTCCACTGCTTCTGTAATGATGACGTCGAAACTGACAGAGAATTGCAATATAGGAACGAAGAAGAAGAGGAGGAGGAGGAGGAGGAGGAAGAAGAAGAAGAAGAAGAAGAAGAAGAAGAACAAGAAGAACAAGAAGAACAAGAGGAGGAGGAGGAGGAGGAGATGGTAGAGGAGAAAGAAGAAGGAGAAGGATGGGGCAGCAACGAGGACGCAGGAGATGGAGGAGGAGGAGGAGGAGGAGGAAGAGAGGAAGAGAGAGGGGAATGGGGAGCAATTGGCAAGGCGGCGAGCTTGTCAAGGAGGTATAACGGTGAAGTCAACGCCGTGAGAAGACCGTAATCGTAATGCCATTTCTGCCACAGTTCTTGTTCGCCTCCCTCTCTCTCCCCCACTTCTTCTTCTTCTCCTTCTGCTTCTTCTTTTGCTGCTTCTACTAGTGCAACACGTTGCTGATGTTGTTGCCCCTCCCGCTGCAGCAGCTTGGCTCTGCCATGGCTATGGCTGTCTCTGGCACCTTTTCCTCTCCTTCCCCTTTCTCTGCTGCTTCTCCCCTTCTGCGTCTTCTCCCTCCTCTTCATCCTTCTCCTCTCCGAGAGAGCATGGTAGTGGATAAGTCTGCCTTTGGCAACACCCGCCATAGCCAGAGCTTCCTCCAGAATCCCGACCACACGTTCCGTCCCGCTAGGTCTCATTTCCGTACCTGGTCCTGTTCCGCTCCCCACCCCTGTTCCAATTCCAATTTCTGCTCCCTTTCCTGTTCCCATTCCTGTTCCTGGTCCTGGTCCTGGTCCAGGTTCGGGCCCCATTTGCATTCCTGTTCCCATTCCCATCTCCAAATTGCATGGCCTCATTTCCGTTGCTCGTCCCATTGCCGTTCCCGATCCCGCTGCTGATCCTGTTTCTGTTCCTTTTCCTGTTCCTGTTTCTGGTCCTAACCCCGTTCCTGTTCCTGTTCCTGGTCCTGTTCCTGTTCCTGTTCCTGTTCCTGTTCCTGGTCCTGGTCCTGGTCCTGGTTCGGGTCCCATTTCCATTCCTGTTCCCAGCCTCATTTCAATTCCTCGTCCCTTTCCCGTTCCCGATCCTGCTGCTGATCCTGTTCCTGTTTCTGGTCCTGACCCCTCTCCTGGTCCCGATCCTGTTCCTTTTCCAGTTCCTGTTTCTGGTCCTAACTCCGTTCCTGTTCCTGGTCCTGGTCCTGGTTCGGGTCCCATTTCCATTCCTGTTCCCATTCCGATCGCCAGGTTGCCAGGTCTCATTTGCGTTGCAGATTCCGTCCCTTCTCCTGTTCCTGTTTCTGGTCCTAACCCCTCTCCTGGTTCCGATCCTGTTCCTTTTCCAGTTCCCGTTTCTGGTCCTAACCCCGTTCCTGGTCCTGGTCCTGGTCCTCGTCCCATTTCCATTCCTGTCCCCTCTCCCATCGCCAGATCCCCAGGTCTCATTTCTGTTCCTGGTCCCATTCCCATTCCCTTTCCCGTTCCTGGTCCCATTCCTCTTCCTTGTTCCATTCCCATTCCCATTCCCATCGCCATATCACACAGTCTCGCGAGAAGCAAGCCCACTTGCACCATAGCCAGTCCTAGCTCGTGGAACATGGCACCGAGCTGCTCCTGCTCTCTCCCTACGCGACAGTCGGGATCCCGACCTGGACGCTGTCCTGGAACGGGACTACTCCTGGGACCCGGACTGCGATCGGGACACAAGCTATCTATCGAGCCCCCTCCAAGTTGCACGCGAGTCGAGACCGCAAACCCGCTCTCACTCCCCGCCGTCTCTTCGGCGCTCGCATTCCCTCCTCCTCCTCCTCCTCCTCCTCCCCCTCCTCCTCTTCCTGCTCCTGCTCCTCCTCCTCCTCCCCCTCCTCCTCTTCCTGTTCCTGCTCCTCCTCCTCCCCCTCCGCCTCTTCCTCCTCCCCCTCCTCCTCTTCCTGCTCCTGCTCCTGGTCGTCCTGCTTCCGCTCCCGCTCTTAATGACCACCCTTCTCTTGTCGGGATCGGGGATGACGCGGGATCGCGGCTGGAGCAACAGTAGCGGATGTTGGCAGAGAAGGAAGACACAGGTCTGTCGGGATCTGTCATCGGGACATCGGAGCCCAAGCCATGAGTCTGCGAACACCCATGAAACGTCGCACCAGCAGCAGCAACGTCAACAAGAAAGCGAAGGGGGGCGGGAGGGGAGAGAGGGAGCGGGAGGGGAGACGGGGGGAGGGACGACCGACAAAAAGCAACGAGGAGGGGAAAAAGAGAGAGGGGAAAAAAAAAAAAAGAAAAAAAAAAAAAAGAAAACAACAAGCAAACTGGAAGCGAAAAAAAAAAGAAGCTTTACGCCTCTTCCCCCCCCCCCTCCCTTTCAGACTAATAATGAAAGAGAATTACGCCTCTTTCGTTGGCAAAGGCCCTTGTCTGTAAGGGGGAAATATTAAAATAAAATAAAATAAAATAGAAAGGCAGAAAAAGGCGGGCGATCATTTGGGAAAAAAAAAAAAAAAAAAGGCGTCGCCTCGACTTGTCTTTCTTATTTCCGTTATCTGCTTCCAGAGGGTATTTGAGTTAGCCGTCTTCCCCCGAATAGAGCCCCCCACAGTCATTATAGCTGTATTTAATCCTCGTCATCAACTACGCATTATCATCGTCTTCACCAAATACACATCACCGCACACATATAAGTGCACTTATATGGAAGAGAGAGAGAGACAGACAGACAGACAGACAGACTGAGACAGAGACAGAGAGAAAGACAAACAATGTGAATGCACTTAATATGGAGAGAGAGAGAGAGAGAGAGAACAGTGCGAATACACAGGTGTTCGAAAACGAGCAGACACAGGGAGAGAGAGAGAGAGAGAGAGAGAGAGAGAGAGAGAGGAAGAACTAGGAAGACAGAGCCGTCGACATGGGAGCATTGGCTGCACTCATTGAACGAAAAGGTTTCACCCTAGATGCGGCGATAGTTAACAAGAAGGGTAAAACCAAGAAGGAAAAAAAAAAAGGGGGGGGGAAACAACGTACTACGTTCTATTCGATGGGTGAAAAAAAAAAAAAAAAAAGAAGAAGAAGAAGAAAAAAACAAAGGTAGTACAATACATGCTTGTAAACGACTGACGATCGCTGATTTGTATTTAATTTTTCTACATTTTGTAGAGTAGAAAAAAACGACCATTAATTAAGTACATTAATGTAGAATGCTTTTTTTTCCCCCATTTTTATTTACCTGTGATGTTCAAGAATTACCATTGGTTTACATAGAACTTGTTTTCCTTCTTTTTTTTTTTTTTTTTTTTTTTTTTTTTTTTTTTTTTTTTTTTTTTTTTCGTTTTCACTTATCGTTCATGCAGCAGATTATTTTCGGCTGCCAGTGCCTGCCACAGTTGCATTTATTTTTTATTTTCTTTTTATACTAATTATTGAACAGCCGACAACGGACGAGTGGATGATAATGTATATATAGTTATTCACGACTGCATCGATAACTCATCAACCGCTCATCAATCATTCATCAATCACTCATGCAATCATTCATGCAATCATTCATCAATCATTCATCGATTATTCATCGATCATTCATCGATCATTCATCGATCATCGGGGGCGAGTCACACATTCGATAAATGATTTCATTGATCTCATCAATCATTCATCGATGATTGATTGATGGAACGTTCATTAACAAAATCGACGAATGCTTTATTCATGAAAATTATTCACGCATCGATGATTGATAGTAATGTTCATCAACAAAATCGATGAATGCTATATTCATTCATCAAAATTATTCGCGAATGAATGTAATCATTCGTCAATCGCTGATGAATAACCGATGCACTCACCAATCATTGATTGATGAATGATCTTTCAGCGATGATTCAATCGATCATCACTTCATCAATGATTCATTCGTCGTTTAATTGGACTCTAATTGACCGATAGTTCGTCGATGATTCATCAACCGTTCATCAATTATTCATCAGTCAATCACGAATCGCTTCTGATGTCAATGTACCAACCTTTATGACGTAAATGTACAGGATTTGATTAAACGCCTGAATCTGGACGAGTTTTGAGCAACAGATGCAGAAATGCGGATGAATCGCCATTTTCTGCACCTCTACACGAGAGCTTCCAAATTCAGGCGTTAAATGCAATCCCTCTTTTGCTAGTGGGACCTCGCCCCTGGATCTCATTATCAAAAACAAGTACCCCCTCCTCCCACCCCCGCCCCCACGCCGAAAAAAAACAAAACAAAAAAAAAACAAAAAAAAACAGAGAAAAATAAAAAGCAAACCCAAAAAAAACCTCTCTCACTCCCGCACGCACCGCACATACACAGAGTTGTACCTACGTCGGGATCTCTGGTCGCGATCGAGAGTGACACTATGCGAGAGAGTGGATTGATGACGTGCACGTGTATGGTTGATTGATCAATCAATCAACCATTGATGAGGTGCACGTCGTGCATTGTCGTGTACGTTAATCGCTGATTGATTGATGACGTGTGGCTGCATTATGCATCGAACAGTGCCGACGTGTCCGTGTTTGATGACGTGTACGTGTCTTGGACTGATAGATGATCCGCAGATTGATGACGTGTCCGTGATTGATGACGTGTACGTGTATTTTGCAGTCGACACTACACACGTGTATCTTGGACTGATTGATGACGTGGACGTGTGTAGTGTCGACTGATTGATGACATGCACGTGTGTATTGTGGGCTGTGATTGATGACGTGTACGTGGGTATTGTGGGCTGTGATTGATGACACGTGTACGTGTGTGGTGAATCGTATGATTAGCTGTCAATGAAAGTTGGATTGATTGATGACGTGTACGTGTACGTGTTGCATGGCGATTGCCCGCGCAATGCATCAACGAAGCTTATCCGGAGAACCACAAAAAAAAAAAAAAAAAAAAAAAAAAGCTTACCCGGAGAACGGCCTTTCTTCTGTCCGCGGGCATCATCGCAAGCTTCTTAGCGATGGGAAGAAGTTTCCTCGAGAGTTCTGCCATGTCCATCAGACCTCTGATACCGATGATCCCGAGACCCCTTGGACCGAAAGCACGCCTCACAGCTTCCATCGCCCGTTTCTTCGCCATAGCCATTTCTTCTTCTTCTTCTTCTTCTTCTTCTTCTTCTTCTTCTTCTTCTGCTTCTTCTGCTGGTCGATTGACACGTGGCATTCCTTGATGGCGATGGCGGCCGGTAGCTCCGTCTTCTTCCTCAAGCTGCCGCTCCTGAAGCTGTCGTGCCTCCACGTCGCACGGCGCAGAGGCTCCATCATCGCTGCGGTTGATGACGTGTCCAGCAGGAGAAGGAGATCTTACCATTACGATTGATGACGTGTCAGCTCCTCCGCGATCTGCTGCCAACGACGAGAGTGAAGAAGAAGAAGAAGATGAAGAAAAGGTTGATGAGAATGATGATGAGAGTGAGGGGGAGAAGGAGATGGAGGAGGAGGAGGAGGAGAAGGAGGAGGAGGAGGAGGAGGAGGAGGAGGAGGAGGTGACCGCAGCTCGCAGATCGGCGTAGTCCAAGATGATCAAGCTATGGCTATGGAATCTGCCATCCCCATCATCAAAGGAGGATGACTCGATCGCGACCACAGATCCCGACGTCGCGGTGTGCTCCATCGATGCCACGTTAAACCGACACCCAATTCCCGCCGTCCCGACTTCAGATGTATTGACTTGTGCCTCATCAAACTACAAATTTTATTTTTTTTATTTTTTTTTTACCACAAATTTCTGATGAAAGGTGACGCAACTGCGGTCACAAATATTTACGGCCGGTTGTAATTGCGGCAAGATACATTCACGAAGTCCCCACCAGGGTGGGTATCATGGAAGAAGGGATGGATTTGTACAGCACCGGGGTAGAATCTCCCACTGCACTACATTCGAAATGTATCTGTTTCTGCTGGTGGTCCCGGTACCTCCAACGCGTTCGGTCACTCCTAATGTATCTGGTGGCGAGGTGCTGTCCAGATACATGATGAATGTTGAGCTGTGGAGCAGAATGTGCGTCGTACCGTACGGACTTCTAGACGTGATTGTGGTCAGATGCATACGGTCGCGCCGCAATTAGATACATTCAGGGAAGTGCCAGTGTGAGCAGACTGTGCGACACGCGAATCACCGGCTGGCAGTCGTATTGCTGGGCCAACAATCGCCTACCCAGACCACGTGGACTACCTTCCAGACCACATGGACTACCTTCCAGACCACATGGACTACCTTCCAGTCGACCCTCTTCAATCACACAAGACTGGAGGTACTCGTGACTATGGGTCTCGCTCCACTACACTAGACTCATGGAAAAATTCGTGAGCCCTTCTAGAGCTCAGAGGTCTAGAACTCTTGAGAAACGAAGCATGCTCCACTCACTCCAGACTCGAGAACTATAGAAGCGCTCGCGAATTTCTCAGGGCTACATCACAGCCCTTCTACAGCACTGTCTGATGGTCGGGGCAGGGGGCACAATCGCGAAAAAAGAGGGCGAAGCGGGGGTAGGAGGGAGGACGCTAGAAAACTTGAGCGTTGCAGGCTGTGAACTCTATACAAATCGAGAGTGCCTTTCGAGAGCGCTTTCTGACAGCTCTCGAAGGGTGTTGTCACGAGTTCCAGTCTAGAGTAAGTGGAGTGAGGCGTTACTCTCAAAACTTTGGGAGTCTAGAGTAGTGGAGCGAGGCCCTATCGGTCGGCTCCCGCGAGAGACAAGAGACCTGCTTCGGGTACCTCCAAGTCAAACAGCATATTGTTGAAACAATTCGCACAAAAGTGCAAAAGTGGTGGTCACGCCACGAGGACACACTTAAACGATTAAGCGAGCATGACCCCAGACAGCAAGTGGTGCATGCCAACGACAGCGAAAACTTGACCAGAAAACGACGAGTGGAGCATAAAATGCGAGCCCAGACAAAAAGACAAGCGTGACTTGAAAAGGACACGTGGAGCATTGGCTTAAATAACCGAGAGAGTTCAAACCCCAATATCGGGGAAGCAAGAACGAAGGAGAAAACAGCACTGGGGGAGGTCCAGAGGTGCTAGAGCACTGATCCGAAACAGCTTCGAGCTCGCCATTCGAAAGCCGAGCGTTGTCGCACCGGGGCCAACTGCAACCGCCCTTTCCCGAGTATGAGCTCGCGGGGTCCCCCCCCTGACCTTCAGTCGGCACACGTAGAACCTCCGAGGACCAGGCGCAGATGGCGGACCAAACCCGGAGCACTGACACGAAGACCGAAGTACCTCTTACTTGCCGCACGCCGCCGACAATTCTACGACGCTCCCTTGTGGACCTGCTCAGCGGGCCTCCGGCTGCCTCGCCGCTCGCTCCTCATGCCCTCTCCCTCTCTTGTGGTCTCTCTCTCTCTCTCTCTCTCTCTCTCTCTCTCTCTCTCTCTCTCTCTCTCTCTCTCTC